CAAGTAGCTGGGACTACAGTTACCTGCCACAACGCCCAGCTATTTTTTGTTGCAGTTTGGCTGGGGCTGGGTTGGAACCCGCCACCCTTGGTATATGGGGCCGACACCCTATCCACTGAGCCACAGGGGCTGCCCCACTTGCCAAACTATTACAACTATAGACGCTTGGTTTCCACATCCAAATAAACTGATTAGAACCTCAATGGAAAGCATTGGGAATCTAATCTCTATAAATGATTTTGCCTGAAGCAGTGTGTAGATTGGCATTTAGAAACCTCTGATTTTTGGAGGGTTTTTAACTCACTTAAGAGCATAACAATGTATTTGGGTATTTTAGGGCTTGTACCTTATATCAGGTATGTATTAATACAAGGTAGAGGCAAGGCGTGGTAGCTCACGCCTGTAATCCTAGCACTCTGGGAGGCTGAGGTGGGTGGATTGCTTGGGCTTATGAGTGTGAGACCAGCCTGAGCAATAGCGAAAACATGGCTCTACTAAAGATAGAAAAACTGAAGCAAGAGGATTGCTTGAACCCCAGTTGGAGGTTGCTGTGAGCTATGATGCTGTGGCACTTTACCCAGGGCAATAGCTTGAGACTCTGTCTCAAAAAAAAATACAAGGTAGAATTTAGAGTGCTATAGTAAGATAAGATTTCTTTTTTGTGGGGGTGGGGGTCGGGGTCTCACTTTGTCATCCCCAGTAGAGTAGCTGGGACTACAGGCGCCTACCACAATGCCCAGGTATTTTTAGAGACGAGGTCTCACTCTGGCTCAGGCTGGTCTCGAACTTGTGAGCTTAGGCTGTCCACCTGCCTCAGCCTCCCAGTGTGCTAGCATTACAGGTGTGAGCCACTGTGCCCACCTAATCATACAGCTTTTATTTTTTTATTTTAATTTTTTTTTTGAGATAGAGCCTCAAGCTGTCCCCCTGGGTAGAGTGCTGTGGCATCAGAGCTCACAGCGATCTGTAACTCCTGGGCCCAAGCGAGTCTCCTGTCTCAGCCTCCCAAGTAGCTGAGACCACAGGCACCTGCCACAACACCCGGCTATTTTTTGGTTGCAGCTGTCGTTGTTTTGGCGGGCTGGGGCTAGATTTGAACGGACCAACTTAGGTGTATGTGGCTGGCGCTTTAGCCACTTGAGCCACAGGTGCCGAGCCCATATAGCTTTTAAATGGCCTTTTTCTTTCAGGATGCTAGAATGCTTATGTTTTTCAAACACAGTTGGCGATTTGAAGTCTGCCTGTAAATTTTGGCTGCTCTAGCCAATCACAGTTGACTTTTTTTTTTTTTTTTTTTTTTTTGAGATAAGGGCTCCCTCTGTTTCCTGGGGTAGAATGCAGTGGCATCATCATAGCTCACTGGGAACCTCAAACTCCTCGGCTCAAATGATCCTCCAGCCTGAGTAACTAGGACTATGCAACCAGCCACCATGTCTGGCTAGGCTCACTGTTTTTTGTTTTCTTTGTAGAGATAGGGCTCTCGGTGTTGCTGGGCTGGTCTTGAACTCCTGACCTCAAGCAATCCTTTGTCCTCTGCGTCCCCAAAGTGCTAGGATTACAGGTGTGAGCCACTACCTGGCCTACAGTTGATTTTTTTTTTTTTTGAACATAATCTCAAGATTTTATTGCCTTCATGATAAAACAAAAGATGATTAGAACTGTATAACTTGACCCTTTCTCTTCTTATCTCCTCCCAGTTCAAAATACTTGCATCTCTTAATAGCTAGCATTCTCGTAGATCTGCAGTTGGGTTCAACACACTCAAGCCTCAGCACAATCTTCTTTGTAGTTTTAGCCTTTTTCTGGAAAATGGCTTAGTCTGCCCACCATAGCTACTCTGCTTCCTGTCATAATGCTGCTTTCTCTGGGCATAGAGTCCTTGTCCTTCTTGTGTGTTTGTGTCACTTTGTGGGGCTGGTGCTTACTACACTTCTTACAGAAAGTCTGGCAGGTTTTAGGAACGTTCACCATGTTTGCACGAGCGCTATCAGCAAGGAAAGAAAGTGTTGTTTTTTTTAGCTTATTCATAAAGCGCTTCAGTGATACATATGTTATCAGTGCAAATAATAGGCAAGAAGAAAAAGGGAGGGTAAACATTTCCTGGAAATAAGAACTGCTTTAGAAATAAAAAAGGAGGGTGGCACCTGTGGCTCAGTGAGTAGGGTGCTGGCCCATATACTGAGGGTGGTGGGTTCGAGCCCAGCCCCAGCCAAACTACAACAAAAAAATAGCCAGGCGTTGTGGTGGGTGCCTGTAGTCCCAGCTACTTGGGAAGTTGAGGCAAGAAAATCGCCTAACCCCAAGAGCTGGAGTTTGCTGTGAGCTGTGATGCTACAGCACTCTACCGAGGGCAACAAAGTGAGACTCTGTCTCTAAAAAAGGAAAAAAAAATTTTTTTCTTTTTTTTTAAGACAGTCTCAGTGGTGCCTGTGGCTCAGTGGGTAGGGCGCCGGCCCCATATACTGAGGGTGGCAGGTTTGAACCCGGCCCTGGCCAAACTGCAATAAAATAGCTGGGCGTTGTGGCAGGTGCCTGTAGTCCCTGCTACTTGGGAGACTGAG